GAGAGGAAAATGGAGGAGAAGGGATTGCGGCATGACCATCCTCCCGGGGGGTGATTTCTCGCTTTTTGTCTCTAATGTCTCTCTCTGTCTGTCTGGCGATGCATGCCCCCGATAGCGGAAAAAATCTCTCCGAAAAAAAAAAAATGAATGTACGCTCCATGGCTAAATGTATAGTGCATATCATGTGTGTGCTCCCAGGTGTTAGGGAAGAGGGTCTCTCTTCTAGACCCCAGCACCTAGACTCTAGCTTCATGTTGTTCCAACCCCATCTTCAAAGCCCTAGTTAGAAGAGAGAGAGTTCTGAGGTCACTCTGAGTTGTTCATCTTTTTACCCATCTTCCTAGTACTGAGATATCATGATGTAACAGAGTGCAGGCAGGACAGAGCTGAAAAACAGCGCCTGTGCAAACTGTTTATTTTGAAAGGTGAGCTTTGTTTTGAAGTCATATCATTATCTAAAACACGTTCAGTATTTTTTTTTTTGACAAATTACTTGGGATTTGGGGAAATAAAAGGGAAAATACTCTCCTATAGTTTGAATGTGTCCTCCTAAAATTCATGCGTTGAATTTTGGTGATTATCGTGATGGTATTAAGAGGATGAAAACATAATCCAACTATGCTATTAAGAAGTGGAACTTTTGTAATTAGGATTAGATAAGGTCATCAGAGTAGGACCCCCATGATTAAATTCTGGTAGCTTAATAAGAAGAGGGAGTGGGGCCAGCTGGTGGCCAACTCTGTGGTTTGAGTCCTAGATCCAGTGGCTTGAAAAACTCACCAGGTGCATTTGTGTATGCCCAAAATCCCAAGAGGGGAATGGAAGAGAATGGACTGCAATGTGGTCATCCCCCCGGGGATGGTGCTTTCTCAGTTTCCTTCTCTCTTTCCAGTGAGTACACAAGTCCTATAGCAAATTAAAATAAATGAATACTTTTTTTTAAAAAAAAGAGGAAGAGACACAAGATCTAACACAAATCCAGACACACGTGCTCCTGTCCTCTTGTCACGTGATGCCCCTTGCTGCCTCAGGACTCCACAGAGTCTCCACTAGCAAGATTAACGTTACCAGACATGGCCCCTAGGCCTTGGAGCTCCCAAACTATGAGCTAAACAAACTTCTATTCTGAGATCTCAAAAATGCCCGATAGGTTTGGTATGAGACCATCATGGTTTCAATTTCAGATCCCACCATTTACTACAAATGGGACTCTGGAATGACAAACTCCAAAAAGTTTTTGTCTTATGCTCTGTTATCTAGAAAACTGACTAGGGCTTCTCTTTTGGGCTAAAATTGTAAATCTGAGGTGCAGATGTGACTTTTATTTAAATCAATAAGTGTGATTACACTAGTAGCTATTCCAAGTGGGTATCCAGTCATGTGCCATATGACATTTAGGTCAATGACAGCACATGTATGATGGTAGTCCCATGAGATTATAATAGGTCATACCACATACACTAAGTGTGTAGTAGGCTATACTATCCAGGTTTGTGTAAGTACACCCTATGATGTTTGCACAATGACAATATTGCCTAATAACATAGTTCTCAGACTGTATTCCTGTTGTTAAGCAATGCACAGCATTTCTATTTGGAAACCTCCTAAATATCTCCAACCTGAGACATCCACTGAACTCCCGATTCCTCCATTGGCACACCACATTAACAAACCCACTCTCCTACATTCTGCCCCATCTTGGCCCATAGCCGTTCCTTTCACCCACTAGATCAAGCCAAAGATATTGGTGTTATAGTGGGTCTTCTTTTTCTCATACTTTGTATCTCATCAATCAGCAATTTCTTGTTGGCTCTACTTTCAAAAATAAATTCAAAATGCAATAATTTTTTCTCTATTTTGCTACCATGATTCTAGTCCAAACTAACCTAGGTTGTTAACCTCTTAAGTAGTCTCCCTACGTTTATCTTTGTCACCCACAATCTATTTTACCTATCAGAATCCAGAGATATCTTTAAAAAATGACAGATAGGATGGTCCCATAGCCTAGTGGTTAATGGAGCCAGATCCCACATTGCTGACTACGGTTTGAATCCCAGTCTCAGTAGCTTGAAAAACACACTAGGCACATGTACATCCATGCCCCAAATCCCAGTAGAATGGAGAAATGGAGGAGAAGGGATTGTGGTGTGGCCATGCCCCATGGGGGTTGCTCTCTCTTTCTCTTTGTATGTCAGTCTGGGAAACCCACGTGTCCTCTGGCAATTAAAAAATAATGATAACGAGACAATATAATTTCTCTGTTTAAAATTGTTCAAAGATAGCCTATCTCAAAATAAATCAAAAAGACATTTAAGGCCTACATGGCCATCCATGATGTGGCCGCCCTGTAACCTTATCTCTTGCCCATACTACCACACTACCCTCACTCACTCTGCCATAACCACTCAGCCCTTCTTGCTGTTCCTACTTATCAAGAATGATACTGCCAAGAATTTTTGTGCTTGCTTTTCCCTCTGACCAGAAACCAAATGTCTGTTTTCATTCTCTCTCACTTCACTCAGGTCCTAGCTCCCTCTAGAAGCTTCCATGATTACCCTATCAAAAATAGCACTATTCTGGGGGCCAGCCAGTGACAGGGTGAGTAAAGCAGATGGATCCCATATGGGTGTCTGTGCAGTTCGATCAGGTCCTGGATCTGGTGGCTTGACAAACATGCCAGGCACATGTGCATGCATGCCCAAAATCTCAAGTGTAGGATGGAGAAGAAGGGATTGCAGCATGGCCACCCCACCCCCTCCACCTCTGTTTCTCTCTGGTGAGCACATATACCCTATAGCAAAAAAAAAAAAAAAAAAAAAAAAAAAAGAAAAAAAAAAAGAAAAAGAAAAAGAAATAAAGAAATAGCACTATTCTATGTGAGCCCCCAAGGAAAATGTAAGCCCCACAAAAACTGGGACTTATTTTGTTCAATGCAGTATCTTGAGCATGAAGAAGAGTGTCTGGCACATAGCAGGAACTTGAAAAATATTTGTTGGTTGGATGGATGAATGACGATCAGAGATCGAGGAAGACTGTGGCCTCATATGTGCAAGCAGCACCAGCATCTTGGGCTCATGAAAGAACAGGATTTTACAATGCCTGTGTCTTTGCTTTCCCAACACTCCCTACTCCCAGACAGGACACGTGCTGAGTCTCGGGTTGTGAAAAAAGATGAAGAGACCAACGATCATCATAAAAATGCTCTAAAACTGCATTGAGGACAGTTGTACAGCTATACAGACTTCTATAAATCATTGGATCTTACACGTAAGATGGCTGATTTTTTACGGCAGATAAATTATGCCTCAATAAAGCCTCTGAGAGAGAGATAAAAGAGAGAGGAGAAGGAGAAAAAGAGAGACGCAGAAACAGACACAGACAGAGTGGCAAGAAGGGACAAGTAGTAGAGCAAGGACTCAGAACACAAACACTCCTGCACCTGAAGTAGGTGTCCATTCCTCAGAACTGACAGGCAAGAGAGGAGCTCACGGCTGATAGAAACTACCAAAACTTAACACTAGTGTTCTGTTTTCTTTCATTTTTTGGGAACAGGCATGAATGTGACAGTGAACGCTTCCTTTATCCGATCAAAGGATGTAATTTATAAGTCAAGTGACTGCCGGAGCAGCACCTGTGAAGGCCTCGACCTCCTTAGGACAATTTCAGTAAGTGCTTGCTTTGTAGGGTGGCTCAGAACCTCTGAGCACAGGGTTATCCCAGTGTGAACCTTCAGCATGCATCTGTGAAGCATTTCTCCAGTCGTTTCCAGCCATGCAGCCGAACGATTTGAAGGCAGGGTACCGTGGCTTTCTCCCCATGCATTTCCCAAGTGATAGGTCCTCCAGGAATTTAGAAAAGTGGACAGAACCTTTGCTATGTACTATCCATGCACTTTTTGTAGTTTGAAGGAGAATGGTCCTGTTTTAAATTATCTTTAAAACTATTTCAGTGTAAATGCTGGTAGGAACTGATTTGCCTTTGTGTCCCTCAAGAAACACCAGCAGGGGGCAGGAGAGTAGCACACTGGTCAAATGTGACACTGAAAGGCAATCTCACATGGGAAGGTTCCTGACTCAAGTCTGGAGAGACCTCCCTGAGTACCCTAGGCATGCATGTGCCCATGACACTGGGCTGGCTGAAGGCTGGGAGTGGATTGTGGTGTCAGAGGCCAGTTGGAGATGCTATCTATCTCTCTCATGAAAGAAAAAAAGAAGGAAGGAAGAGAGAGAGAGGGAGAGAGAGAGAGAGAGGAAGAAAGAAAGAAAGAGAGAGAGAGAGAGAGAGAGAGAGAGAGAGAGAGAGAGAGAGAGAGAGAGACCCATGACACTGGGCTGGTTGAAGGCTGGGAGTGGATTGTGGTGTCAGAGGCCAGTTGGAGATGCTATCTATCTCTCTCATGAAAGAAAAAAAGAAGGAAGGAAGAGAGAGAGAGGGAGAGAGAGAGAGAGAGGAAGAAAGAAAGAAAGAGAGAGAGAGAGAGAGAGAGAGAGAGAGAGAGAGAGAGAGAGAGAGAGAGAGAGAGAGAGAGAGAGAGAGAGAGAGAGAGAGAGAGAGAGAGAGAGAGAGAGAGAGAGAGAGAGAGAGAGAGAGAGAGAGAGAGAGAGAGAGAGAGAGAGAGAGAGAGAGAGAGAGAGAAAGAAAGAAAGAAAGAAAGAAAGAAAAAGAATCCATGTTTAAAAACATGATCCAAGGCCCCACACCAGAAATCTGTTTCACACCGTCACTAATAAAGATAAGGAAGTGTACAAGGAACCCCTTTTGTTATAGAAATGGAAGAAAAGGCTCTCTGGGAAGCAGAGCACTGGGAGTAGCACTGGCTCTAAACTTAAATTAGTAACATCATGCCAACCAGAGGCCACAATCCTGTCAGGAAGAGTGGCTGGTCCCAGCAGTGATTCTGTGGCGGGAAGGCAAGGAGTGAGGTAGTTTGATAAACTCTGCTTCCCGGTTGCAGGAGTGCATGCTTCTCTCTACCTCCCCAGAGAGAGGGAGAACATGACTCTTCAAAACCAGGACGGGATGCTCCTAACCAGAAATAGTAGAAAACAAGCTCAGAATCACCTAGTCGGTCAATTGCATGCCATTCACTTCAGCCCTAGCCTTATAGCTCTCCCTAAAACTTGCACTCTTCTAAGACCTCCAAATCTAGTCTTCCCACAACTGTGCCTACACATACTGCTAATGTGATGGCCTGTCAGTCCTTCTTCCACCCCTTTCCATTCCCCGCTTAATAAAGACCCCAGGCTCACCTAGACAGCTCTCCTTCGTGGATACCCTTCCCCCTGCTCGCAGGCTCTCTTCTCTCTCAGACCTCTGTAGCCCTTACCTGGCCCTTGCCCAGCCTGAGGACATAGGCTGCCCCTTTCTGCTCTACATTTGAGTATCCTGGGAGGCCCACTTTCTAACCTTCCAGGAGCCTGCCCTGTGTCACTTACTGCCTGACCATTGAATATGATTTTTGTTTACTTGTTGTCTTCCTTTGGTTTTTCTCCTACAGACTCAAAAGCGGATGGGCTGTGCCCTGATGGGGCCCTCATGCACATACTCTACCTACCAGATGTAGTAAGTAGTTTGGTTTGCTGTCATGCTGTTGCTAGTGTGAATTAAAGTCAGGATGTGATTTCACCATTTAAGTGATTTATCAAAGAGTCCAACCAAGGCAACAGGGGTCTTGAGACCTTAGTATTTTCCCCCTTCTCTGTAACTGTCATTCCCGCACCCAGGTGAAAACTGCCTCTGCTTAATATGTGGAGCAAATTACGTTAGCTTTCAGGTTGAGTCACTCACATTTGAGTTTGAGAGGCGATAGTATCTAGTAAAAAGTCAGAATCCAGGAAGCAGGAGAAATGGTGAACTTCCATAATTTGAAGAGTTCAATAAAGAAAATATTCACAAAAGTATGAGCAGAAGGTAGGGAAACTAAGAAAAGGGAAACATCCTAGGGGATTAACAGAGCTCTGTTTGGTCCCTAGGCCTATAAATGTGGGGAAATAGTAAGGTACTTCTTCCCTAGGGTTATTTGAGGACTTGATAAACATTAAAGCATCTTGCACAGTGCTCCTTCCACCTTAGAAAAAAGATTTCTATATACAAGAGTACTTTTAAACTCTGCTTCCGAGCAGATGGGACCAGCAGATGGCCTAATGGCTACGTTGCTGGACTCCCATATAGTGGACCGTGGTTTGAGTCCCAGATCTGGTAGCTTAAACTCACACCGGGTGCGTGTGCATGCATGCCCAAGATCCCAAGAGGAGAATGGAGGAGAAGGGATTGAGGTGTGGCCATCCACCCGGGGGGGGGGGGGCATTGTCGCTTTTTCTT